GGTTTAGGGTTTAGGGTTTGCTACAATTGGGCAAACTGGCCTTCCGTCGTCCACACGATCCCTGCAACCAGAATCCAGCGCCGGGAGGGTGGTCCTTTTCCGATCACCTCCCTGGATGCTGTCCGACGGTATGCAGTGCACTCAGCAACCGGTCCCGGCTCGGTTCTAAGAGGGAATGAAACAACAGAAATCTCGGCGATTTGGGCTCATGAGAACAAAGCAGAGTCTTCTTGCAGGATCTCGCACAACCTCCTAACCCATGAACCCTACCTCCTAATCCCTATAACCCCTAAAAGCCCGATATTATCGGTGTTGCAGTGTTTGAAGTTTCCACCAGGGCACTCCCTCACAGTCGCTGCCACCGAAGGCTGCAGCAACGGAAGCCTCGATCTCAGGCTTCGGCTGGACTCTCAGAGGCTATTTAAGGCTTAGGGCTTTCAGGGTATCGGGCGTGGGGGGCTTTAAGGCTTGGGGCTTTTGGGGTATAGGGTCTGGGGTTTGGGGCTGGGTTTAGGGTTGTAGACCCCTCATTTAAACTCTAGAAACCTTGATAAAAGACCGTTAGAGAAGCACGTAAAGGAGCCTTACAGCAACCCCATGGCTGCACTCTCAAATTGTTTTGGGGTTTTGGGTTTCAGGCTTCAGGCCTTAACTACCCCTTATGGCTTGGTTTAGGGTTCAGGGCTTGCTCGTTTATCCTTACAAACCCAGGTTCCTCTTGGGGCATCCTGTAATATGCCAGTAATGAAGAAGAAGGAAACTTGGAAGAAGCCGGCGGCGTTCAGAGCCTGAGGGCTTCTTTAATTTCAGCCTCAGGTTGAGCCTCCGTAGACACCACTACTCCCTTACATATATGGCCCCTGCCCTAAATAACTACACATTGCTCTCATTCCTCGGCGTCTGAGGATTGAGGTGCGGGTTCTTTGTTTGCAGCTCAGGGTGGTGGAGTTTAGGGCAAGGGTTGCTTTGTGGCCTTGGGGTGTGGCTCTTACCTTAATCTTGGCCTTTAAAGCCCCAAACTCTGGACTGCACGATGTCTGAGAACTGCCCTGCTCTACTACGCTGTCCCGCTCAGTGTTTCAGTCGGTGTGCGAAAACGATGTATACATGAGGTCTCATGAGGTCTCACAAAAAGAGTTTTCGGGCACCCCTTCGGAAAGCCCCTTATCTAGGGCCTCCGAGAACGAAAATCTTTCGTAGTGATGGGCCCAAGCCCGCACTATAAATGATACGGCTAGCTGGGGACGGCTTGCCGGAGCTGGCTGTTGAACCGGAAGCAGGTGGTGGCAGCTCCTAGACCCGGAAGCGCGATAAAGCCACAAAGGCGCCACAGCCCACATCCATACCTTCTTTGGCCGTTGTAGAAGCCGTTTTTGAACGCAATTTTCGAAAATTCCCGAAGCCCTATCCACGATTACTCAGAAAGAACACTAAAGGGCCTTACTCAGGACCCTGCGTTGCGAAGTCGCTCGGAGAGGCCACCCCCGCAGCTTCGCGTGCCTGAGCTTTTCCGCCCCAACTCCCAAGGCGGTAACCAGGCTGCACTACCCACAGTGGTTGCTTTTGGGATTCCCTAATAGGATCCTAAATATAAGCCACAAAAAGGAACTACTATGGGGTCTAGGGGTAGGGTTATGTCGGTATGATTTGCCATAGGGTTCTGTCTGCATTATTAAGGTCTGCATGGCGTGTTACATTGTGTTTGAAGGTCGCTTGTGTTGTGATGCTCGAACAGTGTACACACAAGCAGTAGAACTCCCATATCGAAACATACGCTAGACTCAACTGCGAGTATACAAGCAACTATACGATACTGTTAATTACTGGTAGCTGTCTAGTCTATATGGGCGCCTTGGACACCATACAGAAGTACCCCGCTTTCATTTATCTCAAGGGTTTTTACTATAGTGAACACTAAGGGTGATTCCCAAGGAACACCGAGTAGTACGGCTGATGATATAACGATCCTGCGTAACCCATAATAAGGAATATACCATAATTCCCATAGTTTAGGGCCCTTGTAAGCTAACACAGGAGTTATATCATCAGCAGTAGTACTTGTAGGGCTTCGGCCTGAGGCTTGAGCCGAGGTCTTCCTGGACATGAGGCTCTCCCCCAAAACCCCGGGTCCCGATAGGGAAGCCTGGCTAGGGTTTAGGGTTTAAGGTTTAGGGTTTAGGGTTTAGTTCGACTGGGGACCCGGGCGCAGAATGGGGGGTGGGGGCGTTGGGGCGGCGATGAGGGGAAGTATACTGAGGAAATAATGACTATATAGGAGTACTTGGAGGATCATGGGACTTAGTAAGTAAGGTTATAAGTCCCCTAATTGGGTTATAAGTACAGTTACCTTAGTTATAACCCTACTTACTAAGTCCCATGATCCTTTAAGTAGAAATAATTCGCCCCTAAACCCTAAACCCTATTATAAACCCTAAACCCTAAACCCACTACGCTGCATTAGAGAACAGAGTCGACGCGCTGATGCCTGGCTGCACTTTTCGCGGGAAGACCTGGAACTTGCGGGGTTTCAGGGTGCCGGGATTAAGTCGCATCCTCTTAAGGTCTCCGTACATAGGATATACTACCCTATATAGGTAGGATCCTTACTTTAAGGGATATACTACCCTATGTAGTAGGATCCTTATTATAAGGACTCCCCAACAACTACCTTATATAGTAGGATCCTTACGATAAGGACTCCCCCAAAAAGGTCCCCCCCTAGGATATAATGATATAGTACCCTATATAGTAGGATCCTTATTATAAGGACCCCAGAAAAAGGTCCCCCTTAATTTTTGGAAACTCCCACATTGACATCTGAGGCATTGGCAGGCACCCCACTCGCCCCAGTCATTCCAGCGGCCTCCGGCACTGTGATGGGTACCGGCTTTAGGGTTTAGGGAACCCTAAACCATACAGGGTTTAGGGTTTAGGGTTTAGGGTTTAGGGTTTAGGGAACCCTAAACCCTATAAACCCTAAACCGTTTAGGGTTTAGGGTGTCACGGTGTCACAGGAAGAGCGTTTGAGGGTTTGGGATTGGGGCAAGAGAGTGTGGGGAGCGGGGTGTCCCAAGAATGGTACAGCTTAGGGTCTATGGGGTTTAGGGTTTAGGGTTTAGGGTTTAGGGCTTAGGGTTTAGGGTTTAGGGTTTAGGGATCAGAGTCAGACATCCGAGTCCCAAGCCCAAAGTGGCCACCGAGCACTAGGCTCTGCAAGAAAAACAAACGATGGTTTGCCTATCACCCTGTATGGCTTTAAGACCTAATAGGGTTACTCTGCGGGGTATGGGGCTTATCGTCCAGAACTTTGCAAAGACTGTTGGGCAAGAAATCCGCTACGGCCTGTTGTCTCGGTTTGTTGTTCCGGGGTGGTACACACAAGGGATCATTGGCGAATTCAGTCCAACATGATGCTCGCATATTCCATATGTATTTGCATGCATGAGCAGCAGGATCGTGATGACTTTGATTACAGAGTCACTCTCTAGCTGGTCCTGCATCGGATCCCGCAAACATGAACCCTCGACCCTCTATACAGAGCATCTAGGGTCTAGAGCTGAAAACCATGATTCCTGCCCTCAGCGGACCTGAAACTGTCTCAACAAGCAGACCTTCAAGCGACACTTCAAAGGGGTCTGTTCACCAGCAACCTGCAACCTGCGAAACCCAACACCCTGTTGGCCTATACCCCGAACAGTTAACCTGAAAACCCCAAGCAATCCAACATAGGGGCTGGATACTTCGTAGATAGCGGGAAATGCTCTTATCGTAATAGCAGAATATAGTATACCAAAACCCTATTCTACTGAGCAAGGCACCTTTATATAAAAAAGGCGAGTCTGCACAAGGGCCCTGGCTCTAGGCCTTTAAGGGTCCAGGTGCGGCTACTGGTGGTTCAGGTAGGGCTTCTGGTAGAGAGATTTTTAGATTCGGGCGCTTTTTTCTCGTAAACTTCTGGAGCTTGAAAGAGTCTGAAACATCCAAATAAGACTATGAGCGCCTGTTTTACAAGGTGCATGGCTTGGCAAAACAAGCAACGGGTTCTTGTAGATTCCACTGCATAAAAATATGGGACTGCAAACATCAACTGTTCAGATCCGCGGCAGTCCACTGGACATTCGTCGAAGCCGCAGCGCTTGCGGCGAGTGGCATCGCCTTCCAGTGGAGTTCAACCCACAACCCCACAGCTTCACTATCTTGGCCTTCCGGGAGCCACCTTCAAGCAACACCTACACATGGTGAGATCATGCCGATAAGCGCCCAGAATCCAGTATCCCTCAGCAGAGGGATGTGCAAGATTTTAGAATAGCTGGTCAGTCTTACCTAGAGCCCGCTGCACAACTCAATTAGAGCCCTTTACAACCTTAATTGCCAGCCCAGTAAACTCGGTATGCTCCAAACAGGTTACGGTCAACGGCTGAACCTTTGGAACCTGTGGCTGCGACCATGCATGGCCTTGGCAAGGAAGCCCGCCCGCACTCTCGACCACATCGCGCTCACGAATGCTGCTGACATAGCTGTCCTGGCAGCCCTAAACCCTAAACCCTAAACCCTAAACCCTAAACCAAAACCCTAAACCGAAGCTGTCGGGCTAGAGGTGCGGTGAAGCGCTGTTGGGGTTAAGGGCTGATGGCTTGAAGAGCTGAGCTTCGACTCCCCTGAAGTACAACTCTCACAACAAACTTATGGGTAGTTGTCAAAATTATGGTCCCTTTTGGGGTACCCTAAATAATAGGTGCCGTATTATAATAAGGACCCAAAAAGGGACCCTAATTTTAGAAAACTACCCTTATGGAACCACTCCTGAGCCAGAACCCACGAGGACCTCTCCAGAATGCCCGAAAAAAAAACTGCAGAATGCAGAAGGACAGTGCACAGAAGCTAGGGTTTCCATTAGTTTCAAGCATACAAGCTAAGGGTTGCATAGGAGGTTCTCGTGTCGTTGAAATTTCTGTGGAAGTTTGTTCATATACCGGGCTTTTGGCTTCTATGACGTAAGGTTAAAATCCTCGTAGTAACCCTTCTTGCAGCCGTTAATTTACCATGAGATACCCCTTAAAAAGGAGCCCGTACAATAACCCTGACAGGAACCCCTGTCGCATCTGTTGTAGTAATAGTATAATATACCCCCAAACCCTAGTCTTATTCTGAAGGCCCCCCCCATATTAATTCTTACCTATAGTATCCATTCATTGAAGTTCCTTTTTGGGGGTACCTTATAAAATCCTTAATATATAATTGGTTAAACCAAAAAAAGGAACTACAATGGAGACTATAGGTAATTGGGGGGAACGAAGATCTGGGCTCAACCAAGCCCGAGGTGCCGAGCTCCCACAGCTGGCGCTGCAACCTTCAGAGACAGAGCCGAAGGGGTCATTTCGTAGAGCTTTGCCAGGGCCGTTGCGGGGTCTGATTCGGGCTTTACAAGCGTTTAGTAGGGGGTTTTGGAAGGGCCCTATAGAACTCGAATCGGAGTTTCAGCGTTGTTGCTTAGTGGGCTTAGGCTGCCGTCGACGTTGCTGCTTTTGTTTCTGTAGTTTTTGTATTCATTTGGCTTTCGCGCTTTTCTCCATTTCGAGCGCCTCACCCTGGGAACCAACACAGTGCTACACCCTCCAACATAGGGGCCTTTCAATGCTGGTCTTTGCGACTGCCTGCTGCAGCTATATGGCGCACGGCACCCTTCGAACCCTATCCTAAATACCTCAGCCACGGTATTTCAACTTACCCATAGGCCCCATAGTAGTTCCTGTTTGGGGTTACCCTCTAGGATTCTATATATGAACCCCCAAAAAGGAACTACTTTTAGGGCCTATGGGTATCCCTGAAAACCCGAAGCCCTAAACCCTGCAACGAAGTCTCCGAAACACCCTAAACCCTAAACCCTAAACCCTAAACCCTAAAACCCTAAACCCTAAACCCTAAAACCCTAAACCCTAAACCCTAAAACCCGAAGCCCTAAACCCTGCAACGAAGTCTCCGAAACTCCCTTAACCCTAAACCCTAAACCCTAAAACCCTAAACCCTAAACCCTAAAACCCGAAGCCCTAAACCCTGCAACGAAGTCTCCGAAACTCAAAAGTCTGCCAATCCCGAAGAGGGAGCCCTGGGCCTGAAGCCCCTGAGCACCCAAAGCAAGTCTCAGAAAACGGGGGTCCTTATAACTTATAGGTTGAGGGTTTAGGGTTTAGGGTCTAGGGTTTAGGGTTTAGGGTTTAGGGTTTCGGGTTTAGGGTTTCGTATAACTACGCTGTTGTGACTAAGATAGGATTCTGAGTATGATTGCTTAGGACAATATTGGGACTAGAAGCTGCACTGCTTTTCATGGAAAACCCCACAACTAATGCTGTTCTGTCGTAAGTCCCAGTTCCCCGAAACTCCATTGTTGCGGAATGATGGCACCTGATTTGACACTTCGAGAATCCAGGGTTTGGGAACAGCCTCTTTGATTGAAAGGCATTTGGAGTGTCGCTGGGCTCGAAAACCGAGACTCAAAATCGACCTCCAAACCCAAAACCAAAAATCCTACAACCCCGAAACCCCAAGGCCACAACATGAAACCCTAAAACTCCGAAACCCCACCCAGGAAAGCTCTAAGCTTGAAAACAACCCTTAACATCCCGCTTACATAATCCTTGTAGAGCCCAATCTACAGGAGGCTAGTCGATTAGAATCGGGTCTGGGTGGATATTAGCAGAATATCAAGGACATAATTCAATGCCTATTAAAAACGTTATTAGGACCTCTCTGTTATTCACAGATCGCCGTCCCAGTCGCTGCTCCAACTGCCCCAGTCGCCCCAGACACAGGAGACTGGACACGCCCCCTGGGTTCAGGCTAACGGCTCCAACAAACCCTAAACCCTAAAACTAAACCCTCAACCCTAAAAGGGTTTGGGGTTTAGAGTCTTAACGCCTATGGACACGTCTCTGGACTTCCGTTCTTTATTTACTTGCCCTCCTCTCTACAATTATGTTCGTGTCGAGACTTTAATGCTCAGCGGATTGAATGTTCGGGTTTAGGTTTGGGGCTGAAACTGAAAGAATTCCAGTTGAAGGGCGAAGGTTTACTTTTCAAGGATTTCTGTTCAAACCTCTTGCGGTGCCTTACTTACGGGTTTTGCAAAGCGGATTGAAGTCAGCTTCTCTGCCGGTTCTACAGCGTATTGGACTTGGGGTGGGCTTTCTTAAGCCGAGCTGCTTTGAGGGTTCATGGCCATGGGTGTTGACAAACGTAATGTAGGGGCCTTAATAATTGGATTAGGGTTTTGGGGTCCCTTATACTATAGTTATAATAAGGAACCCCCCTATAGCAAGTCCCTCACTTGGTGCTGCAAATAAAACCATACAGGCACAGCAACCCTTCCCAAGCCGCACTTCCTGGCAACTTACCGGTGGTCCATCAAGTGATACAGGGGCTTCAGCAATTGTTAGGAAGGATTTCCGGATATGACTACCAATTACATTGACCTTTCAAAAACCTACTTTAGATCTAGGATTTAGGACCTAACGTCCGCAGGTTGATCCAGAGCAATGCACGTCAAGAGATCTTAGTTTTTTGCTAGAGTCCCCAAAACACCTCACTCACCCATGTTTCTTTCACATTCACCAAAGCCCTTGTATCAATACGACTTCAAATAAAGCCACTGGGTGTGCGAGCTGTCCGAGAGACGGCGGTGTGTGGGCTTGAGATACGCTGGCTGATGTCCAAGGGGCAAAGGAAGGGGGTCTAGGATAGGAACTTGGCCATGGATTCTTCTCGCGCCTTGTGCATAGGGACTGTAATGAGCAAATGCTCAGTACAGAAAACCCTAGACCACGGGAACATATGGCAAAACACAGCACAGCCGGAGTAACAGCAGAAACAAAAAACAACCGGTGAGGGCGACAGCAACAACGGCAACAACAGGAAGAACCACAGGAGCAGCAGCATTGCATCAGAACCATTGGCGACAACACCAGCACCATAAACAGTTAGCTCTCAATTCCGTGCAATGTCTGCGAAGCACCAAAGCTCTGCACGCTTGAAGCAGAATCACCAGCACCTGCAGAGCAAATGCCCAGAACAGAACGACAAAGTTGTTTAGGTTTCAGAAGGGTCTCGGGCTTACCCTTAAGGTATTTTGGTTTTATTTGATAGTCCCCAGGAGCCTCGTAGCATGACTGCTCCTCGAGGAAGTTGTTGTCGCAGTCCAAGCCGCCACCGGTGGCCTCTAGCAAGCATGTCGAAGTGCTTCTGGTCATTTAGGGGTTGGGAGTTTGAAGCTATGGATGAAATGCTTTTTCCAGGGAGTCTCATTTAGAACAGGGTCTTGCGGCATTTCAACCACCGATAGCACCTCCCGAATCAGACACGCTAGGCCTGCCGAAAGGGCTTTGGGCCATAAAGTAGCATAACTGAATGGGCGACGATAAGAGGATGTCACTACTGCTTATACAGACCCCTATACCCACCCTTTAGGGAGCTTCTAGCACCTTATCCACAAGAACCCCACAAAGCCCTAGCAGAAAGCAACTCAGACCCCGTCTACGATCCGGATTGGCCTTGAATGTTCAGTGCTCCCACGAGACTTCTGGGTCGCAACGCACCCGAACACATACGAGCCTTAATATAGGAGCCTCAATACGTAGAGGGTACAGAATATTGTAATTATAATAAGGAACCCCCAACATAGTATCGGCAATTATTGAGGCTCCTATAGTACACAACAACATCTGAACACTTGATGCTTCTCATATTTAGAACAAGGCTTTCGGGCTCCAGGTCGAACCTTGTGACCTTTTACCGGCTACTCGGTTTAGGGTTTAAGTACCTCTGCGCAGCTTGTAAAACATGCAGCCTTCTATACACCACAAGACAACCTTCTCAAAGACCTGTATATGCATACACACAGGATCTACTATAAGAAACACCTGGGTGGTTGTCAAAATTATGGTCCCTTTTGGGGTACCCTAAATAATAGGTGCCGTATTATAATAAGGACCCAAAAAGGGACCCTAATTTTGACAACCACCCACCTGTCGAACAAGGAACATCTAACCACAGAAGGCAAGCCCTCCAGTTGCCAGGCCTGGACTTCTGCGAACCGACGTCGAACTTGCGTGCCGTTACCTCGGAATGGGCTATCGGGACATGTTCAACAATTCATAATTAATATTCTTTCTATAAGTTTCCTATTTCATATCGAATATACATATATATATATATATATAATGACAACTCCTTTATGTAGGTTCCTGAGCACTGGAGTACCCTGCTAACCCTGAACTGTAAACCTAAGCCTCGAACGAATCTTAAGACAAGTCTGGCCGGTAAGGCCTTTTTTCCCGAAGTTCTAGCTTACCGTAGTAGATGGGGACCATGTGAGACTCCCATGTGGGGCACCCGAGCCCCAAATCGATGTACCTTTTTGGTTTTTGCGGGGCCCAAAACTATGGCTCAAGTATTGGGGTTTGGGCCTACGCCTTTAGATTTAAGCTCCGAGGCCTTTGGGTAGAGAGTTTGGGCTTTAGAGTTGCCGTCAGGGACGTGTGAAACGACTAGATGGTGGCGACAATCAGGGCAATTCATCGAAACTAGCAGCATCAGCATTGGAATCTTCCTTTCCTCCACGCAGTCCCCAGAGCTGTTACGGTCATCGTCATCATGACTGCCATACTTGTGCTCGTACAAAACATCGCCAAAAATACCATCACCATCATGATCTCATTGTGCTCGCCGTCGTCATCTTCATCAACAGCAGCACCATCACCATCAGCAAAAACATTGCAATCGTGACAGCATTCGGCATGAAATTCCGTCAGCTGCTGTTGCCCGTTCGATGAGTTGTTTTGCTGACGCCATTGTTCTGCGATAAGTATGGTGGCTTTTGCTGCCATCGCTATAATGCTGGCGATTTGCATGGCGGCTGTGTTTGTACTCGCTGTCGTTGTTGCTGTTGTTGTCATGCACTCTCAGAGGAGCTAGACTACGACCTGTTGAAGCTCCTGAATGTGGGTTGCGGGATCTTTAGCACTGGGTGCTTCTTGTCTGCAGGGGTGACACTTAAGCTGTAGGGATCTTACTGTCTGGATGGTACCTTACCGGTGTGCAACCCCCTGCATTGCTGTAACAAGCCGAATCTGACAGAATGCTAGGGCCAGACTTCTGCCCGGAGTTCCTTTTCTCCCCATCTCAAAAAATATTCCTGAAACCCGAAACTCCAGGAATTCCAACGCTCTTAAATCGATAAGCCCTGGAATCCTAAACGTGATACCCCAAACTCCTGAACCCCTACACCCTAAGCACTTGACCCAAACCCCCAAACCACAAACTCTAAACAACCCTCAACCCTGACACCCAAAACCCAAAACCCAGAAACCTCGAAACTTTAAACCCCAACAGCCCAAAACTCCCTTCTAGACCCTTTGCAAGACTCCTTGGAGGAACCTTAGAAAGAGCCTACCCTAAACCCTAAACCCTAAACCCTAAACCCTAAATCCTAAACCCTAAACCCTAAACCCTAAATGGAAGAAAAGGCGCCGCAGCTCGTCGTGCACGGCTCCCACGAGCTCCAATCGGAGGGAACCTCTGTGGACAAGGGTTTAGAGTATAGGCTCTGAAGGGTATCTCTAAAGGGCCCTATAAGGGTTACTATAAGGATTCTATAGTTATACTATAAGGATAGCTAGGGTTTAGGGTTCAGGGTGTCTCTACAGGGCTCTATAAGGGTTACTATGAGGGATACTATAGGGATTCTAGAGTTATACCTATAAGGATACTCTAAGGATTCTAGAGTTATCCCTATAAGGATCGAGAAGGAGTCTACGAGAGGTCTATGAGGTTTTCTATGCCGGGTGAAGCCTCCGGGTTCCGACTTATGGTGCTTTTTGCATCAGGGCTGGGTGGGGAATTAGGGTTTGGGGTTTAGGGTTTAGGGTTAGGGTTTAGGGTTTTGGGATTTGGGGTTTAGGGTTTAGGGTTTAGGGTTTAGGGTTTAGGGTTTAGGATTTAGGGTTTAGGGTTTAGGGTTATGGGGAAGATTTGGGGTAGTTCTCTGAATTAGGGTCCCTTTTTAGGTCCCCGATATAGTCCGGCACCCTTNNAAGGAACCCTACTTTAGAGAACTGCCCATTTAGGGTATGCGGTATGGGGGCCGCTTAAGGCTTAGCTACTTACGGCTCCGGGGATTTGTTTTGGAGGGGTTTCAGGTTGAAAGGCTCAGGGTCGTGGTTTGTCCAGATCCGCCGTCGATACCGCTGACAGGTGTGAAGCAACCCTTCGTAGTTGGTATTTGGGTTCCGAGCAAGGGCAGTTTGCGGGTCTTGGCCGCAACATAAGGGACTTGATGACGAGAATTACGAAGAGTACAGCGCAAAAATGTTGATGCTGAGTTGCAGCCTTCAGATTTCTGACTCAAACCCCACATCCTAGACCCAAAACCCTGCCCTTAAACCGGAAGCAAAGAGCTGGAGGCCCTAGACGCGAAGCCTTCAACCTAAACCTATTTTACGGCCTTTCATCGCCCCGGGGCCCTGGCACAATCCACAGGGCATGCTCGGACGTTGCAGGACATTTCCTGCAGTCTGGCGCTGGGCCCGAAGGTTCTAAGGACCCATACCACAAGGGCTTGGAAGCTTTCAGAGGGTTGTAAAGTATACCAGACCGGAATCATATACTAAAACAGGAAGTGCAAGTGGGTACCCGGAGTACCCAGACCACCCAGACCCAAAGTTTTGCAGATTGAAAGGCCTTTGGGCACAAGTGAGCTGTTGTGGGGTGCAAGCCTTGTGGGATCCCCTAACAAAGGCAAGAGCTGTTTGCTCTCGGTCGGGACGTGGCCTCGGAGGCGTCGCCACTGCAGTCGGCGCCACCTTCCACCGCTGCGATTTTGACCCCACGGGTCCTGGCCAAGATAGGGCTTGCAGTACAGTTTGGGTAGGTAGGGATGATGGTGCTTAGTTTTTTGCTTTGCTTTGTTTTTTTTTTTGGGGGGGGGGGTCAGGGTGAGCGTTCGGGGAGTAGGAGCTGAGCAGGGTGCAGGCTATTTGGGTTCGGTGGCTTAAAGCCTTGGGTTTTCAGGGGTTTAGGGCTTGAAATAAGGTGTCTTTGTCTTAGGCATAAGATTTCTGTCATGTGCGGTGTCAGGTCTCGGGATGTAGCACTTAGAACCGACTATGACTCTGGATTTCGATCGTTTCGAAAAAGGTGTAGGACTTGGGATGAAAAAGCTTTCGGCATCGCTGAGTCCCTAACCCTAGCATCCAGCCTCGCTTTCTGGCCGCCAGAGCAGGACACGGTGCACGCGCCCCAATCCGCCCAATCCTCCAGAGATGGTCGCTTCAATCTGCTGTAGAAGTTGCTCTTTGTCTCGCAAGGCTGAACCCTGGACTCCTAAAACCATAGGGAGTTTCAGGGGAGCCTCTATAGAGACTTCATCAACTTGTATAGGGGTTCGAGGTTTTAGGTGCAGGGAAGCCCTGAAAGACCACTGTCAACCCACTCTCCGAGGCGGCAGGTTTCGAGGAATCACCGACTCCCATACCCTGAAGCCCAGATACCTGATGCTTATATCCATTGTATGTACAGGTGCGCAATGCAAAGGCTACCAAAGATGGGTCCTTGACAGTAGGACGATCTTCATTACACATTCCTCTGCGGAGAAGGAGGGGGCCGCTTATGTCCCAAATCCAGAACGTACCCAAAAGTCTTAGAAGGCTTCAATAGGATGTCTTCCGCAACCTCGCTTGAAAGTGTATGCTGCCTTAAGCTTCTGTTCCTTCTTCTTGTGGCAGAATTCTGGCGCTTCGACCATCACCCAAACCGACTGGAACAAGGCTTGGTGAGGAATTCTACCACACTGATACAATGACGAAAAGTTTTGCCTTCGCTTGGGTCTTCAGAAAGCAATGCAACTCCAAACCCGAAGCCTCCACCACGCAACTACTCTCTACTGTAAAAACCGAACGGTGGCTTCTTGACATGTTGGGTCCTATCATCAGGATCCCCTCATTTCGTTGAATCGCCTTATTTCTGACGCATGAGGATCCTTGGGAATACTGACGATAAAAAGACCTGGGAACGAGGAAACGGAAACCCCATCATACCCTCAACCCTGAAACTTAAGACCCCCAACCCTGCTAAACGCTCAACCGTTGAAACGACTAAACCCTAAACCACCTTGCCCTCAAACCCTAAACCCGTCAATGGAACCCTAAAGCATGGACCATAAACCGAATTCCCCCCCCTTTTCTCGGCTTGAGCCCGGCTACCGACCACTCGCAGTCGCGGGAGCAGCGCTGCGTGTTGCACTCGCCTGCAGGCCGTTGGGTTCTAGGGTTGCAAGTTGTAGGGTTGAGGGTTTAGGGCCAGGTTCCTAGTGGAGTGTTTGATTGATTTGCACCTGTCTAAGGTCAGGGTTCCTAGGTCTTTGCCTTGCAAACGGAAATACTTCAGAAACAAGGTGTGGTCGAGAGGAAACAAAGCTTCGTGCTGGGACTGATTAAGATTAGATTTGGTGGTTAACTGGTGCCGGGACGGGCGGGTATATAGCAGAATCCAAACCGTACGCCGTAGTTTGAGGATATCACGGCACGGCAAAGTACAAAAACAATAACAGCCACTACGTTGCACAACCACCAGCACCAGCACCAGCA